CAATTCCTGATAAAGAAGATTGTATATATATTGGGGCTGCTCCAAAAGACACACTTCCTATTTTATTATGTTGGTTCACAGTTTCAGAGGCAGATGTTGGTGATACAGCAGTAGAGGTTGAACCTTGCCACCAAAGGGAAGTGCTTGCTGAATGCTTATGGAGACCAAACAGTGGATGTGATTATAGGGAGCTGTCAGATCACAAAATGAAGAGTGTCTCTATCAGAGTATCCACACAGATTGGCAAGTAATGGTGCTGATGTTGAAAAAGTGTTTTGTAGTGCAGAACTTGCTCTATCAGATAGTTTTATTGTGGTTTTTGTATCTGAGGCAGTCTCCATGGAAATAAATAAGAGGCATTGCTTCTGGGGCCACATACACATCTGTGTTTTTTTGTCTCTGCACTTTTTCTAGTGGTATGATACAGGGAACTAGCCTCATGTTGAATTTCTCTCTTTGTCCCACGCTCCCAGCTCTTAGCACTACTGGAAGCATTGTCTGGTTTTCCAACTAGAAAACAGATAAGAATTCAAATGAAATTCCTGCGTTCTAAAGAACTAGGTTGTGCAGTAGCCATTTACATGCATACAAAATGTAATTCTGATCCTCTGTTGTTTTTTGGCATTAATATTACCATATTCATTGAGACTGAAACAGATCTGCTGCCTCTAAGAGCCACTGATTTTGACAATTATCTAAAATCAGATTATAATGGCAATCTTAGGAATTTTGATTAACCTCTAAATAAATGTTACATTAGAAAAACCCTGTCAGATGCATTAATGATAAGTTGGGAAGTAGTAGTAATTGCAGACATGGCATTATAGATAACAGCTAATTGATACCACCCTCTCAAATATGTATAGCACATCAGCTGCCATGAAGCTGGAATGATTATAGTAGTATTTACAACAGTTTAAAAACATTAGATAAGATGTAAAATGAAAACATAGGGTGCTTGGTACAATCATCTCACTTTTTGATTTATGACTTTGGACAAATACATTTTTAGTATTGATTGACCATTAACACTTCTATTTTTCTGAGGAGGTAAGTATATATTGGTTTGTTCTAATTAGATTCCAGGGGAATGTCATATGGATGAAGACTATAGTTAACTAAAGAGAGATAGGTTGCCCTTAGCCCCTGCAACTCAGAGCTTGTTCTTTGGATGGCATTTAGATGACATTGCTATGTTTTGGGATTACTTAGTTTTGAGTGTTATTATCTGGTAATGCAGTACTAGTCAATCTTTCTTTCTTGCTTTTTTTTTTTTTTTCCTTCTCTTTTCTTTCCCCCTTCTATTTTGTAGTTGAGAATTAGCAAGAGAAATCTGGAAACATTAATTCTTCCCTTCCATTAGAATATGGCTTCTTCCTTCATACCAAATACGTATTAATATAAGGAAATGATCTGAGGAGTTCAGCTGAGGCTTGCGATGACTGATTATAAAAGAAGCTTTTCTCCCAGTGTCATGGAAAAGACTGTTATTGTTTTTAGCTCATTACATCTCCAACTCTGAATAGCTTTGCTGTTTCACAGGAGCAATCTTAACGGTTAATAACTTTAGCAGAGATCTGTGTAATACTCCTATTTGCATTTTGTGAGGAGAAAAAGAAGTGAGGAAGAAATAAAGCAGATGCTCCAAGTAAAACGTACGTGAAAAGAGGCGAATTTAGCATGAGCTCAACATTAAGAGTGACAGCCCCACTAGCACGCATCTATAGTTTGGGCATGCCAGCTCGTATTTCCTTGGAGATACCTTTGTTTTCCAGCACTTGCAAAGAGAGAGCAGAGAAAATCACCTAGCAGTTTTTCTGAGCAGACAAGTTCTTGCTTTTGTCAGGGACCTGCTGTTTCAAAGTGAGGAGACAAGCCAGGAGTGGAAGGTGACCCCAGTACTGGCTCTCATCAACTAGGGCATGGTTCTGCAGTACCCAGTTAAAGCAGGCAGAGCAGGGGCTGTGACGGAGTCCATGTGGAGTGATCAGTCAGGTCTACCCAGTGAATACAATCAAGAGCAGTAGGATATATGGCCAGAAATAGAGCTGGAGATAGAGCATGGCTCACTGTTCCAGCCAGGAACAAAACTGCAGCATGCAACAGAAGGGGAGTGGGATGGTCATCCAACTCACATCTACAACATCTACTCACAGCAAAGATCTACCATCCATCCGAAAGACATAAGCAGGATTTGAGACCACTACACTTTTTTTGGAGGCAGTGGTACAGGAATGGTATATGTTTGTTAAAGAAGGCTCACTCACTTCATATTGTTTTATATATGTCTGCAACTCTTACCTGTCAGTAAGTTATGACAAAATTAGATGCCTGTTGATGATATAGCACAGCTATATATATATATATATATTGCACAGCTCTGTGAAGCCAGAGGGAGCTTTATCAACAACATGTAGGCATTGGCAAGATGAAAAACTGAGATGTGCAGAGGACAGCCAGCACCAGCTATTCCATCATTTCCCAGCACATGAGTTGAGGTGAAAAAAACAATTTTGGAGGGAATTTTTGGCTGTAACACTGAGATGATCATCATGCCTGAAGTGGACATCCTGTTTCTAGCTGACAGTTGTTTTTTTTTTTTTTTTTGCCTTACTTGATGTAACTCCTAGTATAGAGCAGTGAGGGGCATTAGGGTGAGAGGAAAGTCATCAAATACAAATTTGGTCAGCTCCCATGGTTAGGATATATCTACTCCTGATCTGTGTGATTTGGAGAGGATAGAGTGACAGATTTGACCCACGTGGTTGTACAAATGCAAACCTGAAGCTCCCAAAGAAATAAAACCACAGCTATGGGGGCTTCAGTGCTCCATTCTCTGTCCCTGAAATCACAGGTTATAAAATATAATACCAAGCCATTAGATCAAATTCTGACCATGCAGTTAGTAGCTGTCATCCTTTTAAAAAGTAATACTAGCAGTAGTGAACGTGGCATCATTGTGGTAAGAGTAAAATATCACTATTTGCCCACTAACGTAGTTAGAATTGTGAAAATGAACCCAACTCCTGTGTTTTCATTAAGCTGTCTTGAATTAATTTTTACTATATATATATGTATACAAGAAGTTCTTAATCTCATGTATATATGTATATGTACGTACTGTGATAAGATTTCTTCAAATTAAATCCTGCTTCTGGAGGGGAGGATGGAAAAAAACAATAATAGAAAAGACAAAATCTCCAACTGAAAGTGGAGCTGTTTTGGGACCATTAATGTATTCTTACTACTTTTGTCAATTATTTGAATTTGTTTTCTGGTATTCAAGCTGGCATGAAGGACAACTTTACAGTGAACATATAGTCTTCAGTCCTAGATATGAAGACAAATTTATTGTTATTATTTTTTTAGTTATAAGATATTCTTAGAGGCAGTTGTCCAAGGTTTCATTTCCTGACTTCTTCCTAAAGCTATGGCTCCATAAATCAGACCTGGAGCGTACCTGCTTATACAGCTGTGCCAGGTGAATAGTACTAGAACTTCACCTAGTCAAGGGAAGGGATGTTCTGTGGCAGCTTCCTCTCTCATTCCCAGCTTCTTTCTTGAGGCAGAGAAGTAAGAATCTGTGTCCTAATGCAGGAAACAGGACAATGCCACTGACTGATCTATGGTGATTTTCATAGCTGGTTGAGAAGTAAACCTCAAGGAAATTTGGGGAAAGGAGACAGCCTCTCATTTCTTTATGTTTGAATGCAAGATTATTAACAGGAAACATTATATACAATTCCATCTATATTTTCCAAGTCATTTTCCACGCACCAATCCTCAGCCAACACAACTGGCATCGTTCCCATTAAACAGACACTAATTTACAGCAGCTGAGGTCCTGGATCTTATTTGACTTTCGTATTCATATACTATAGTCTGGGAAACATCAATAAAGCATGCAGGTTTTGAAATGCATAAGATACATGACCACAACATAACTATTTTACATATGGGCTTGAATAGAACTGTTACGTATGCCTGACATACTATGATGTGCTTTATTTAAGGCCCTATCTCATTCTGTAAGTCTCTTGACCTACATTCTGCTACAGTTTTCTCTTGAAAAAAAGATTGAGGATTCAGACACTGCTTCAAGTAAATTAGGGAAATGGAAGTCTTTACCAAAACAATGTGATGAATTCTTCCTTGTGCAGCATTGTATTGCACATTGCCTCATATTGATTTTATGCCAGACTTAATATTCTGGTTTTTTGGTGGATGCAGCCTTGGTACCAAGGATATAATATTGGTATTAAGAGATGTGAGCAGTAAATGAGTTGAGGAGCAGGTATGGGGGAATAAGTTGGGAAGCTAGTATGGGGAAACTAGAGTTATTTGATATGGAAAGAGTAGAAATTGGTCTGCGAAGCAGAGGTTAGGATAACAAGCAGCTGTGAAATACTTAGCATCACTGACCGCTTAAATAATGTCTGTCAAGTTTTCTACTTTAATTACCAATTAGAATAGAGGGAATAATTTTTGCATATTAGAGCCATTGTGTTAGGCTGCCTGCACACTTGGGCATGCATCTCTGTTTGACTTTATTTTCAGTTAACATCTGGAAGATTTTCTGTGCCACTAAATGAAAAAAAAAAAAAAGAAAAAATAAAAAAAGGAAAAAACCCTCAACGCAAAAAACAAAACAAAACAAAAACGAACAAAAAAAAAACCAAACCAACAAAACCACCACCCTATTTTAATTTTAAAAATGACAGTCTGCATCCTGCAGTGTGTGTCTGCAGCAGTGGGTGGATTCTCTGGCAAATTTAATAGCCACAGAATCACACAGAGCCCTGACTATTACCAAATGGTGTGTGATAAACAAATGCAGAAACTTATTTTACTAAAATATTCTCTTCATTTAGTACTTAAATACACTAGCAGTGGCCTTTTGAAAAGCCTTGGGTCATGGAGCAACAATTGCTGTTGGAGTCTCTGGGCTGCTTCATTGTTTATTTAACTTGACAGCAAGCTAGCTACAGTTTCACAATTTAGATCATTTATTTTTATGGTCAAAATGTTTGTACAGTAGCAAAACAGCTTAGTGTATCTCTGCAATGAAAGAGTGCCCCATTCTGCAGCTGCTCTGCCTTTCTTTAGTTGAGGCTTCGTGCAGAGTGGGTGCTTCAGAAACTTGGCAAACTGTTAGATCAGCCATGCACTAGCCTGCACTGCTTTCCCTGATGTGTGAGTATGCTGTGCCCACAACAAGAATACCTTGGGAAGCTCATCCCAGAATTGCTCACTAACATATCAGGTAAACCTTGGGGGGAAAAAGAGATTCTGCAATTTCCCTTGAATGAGAGAACACACAGATACAAAAGTACAATTTAAGAGCTTCCTCAACAATGCTATTAATGTGCCGGTGATGTTAATTTTTGTGTTATATAGGAATGTTTCATTGAACGTAAGGAAAACCAGCAAGTAATGACATTTTATACCAACAGGTGCTTGGGGTGGTCAGTGATGGATCCTATTGGAATCTTCAGTGGCCTTTAGTGTTGCCTGTGAATATTCATTCGCTGCATCTGAGTCCAGTAAATAATGTATCTTAAGAAACAATAAGATCTCCATCTGCTTCCTCTAGTACACTTCCACCAAAGTGCTAGGAGAGCATAAGGAAAAGTACAGAAAAAAGAGGAATTTTTCTTGCAGATCTCCTCAGCATGAGATTCTGTGACCTAGGGCAGTAGCACAGAGTTGAAGTCAGGAGGTTTTCGTGAGGACCCAGAATCTGAGCAACATCTAGACAGGACACCTAGAAAAAGGAAACCTTGGTGAGTACAAGTCTTTTGATGTCTTTGGGGATTTTCAGTGGCAAGAGCTGAAGCCAGCAGCCAGTATTTGGCTCACCGGGCTTTCTGTAGATGTGAACACCACCTACGCCAGTGGCAAACGATGGTCCCTCATATTGTTCATAAGAAGAAAGTGAGGCTTTGGTGCCATGAATCCACCCACTGAGAAGGTGAGTGAATTATGGATGTTGTTATATATCTATAGAAATATCTTCAGTTATTTGTATGAGTTTTTCTCACTTCTTCTATGCCCCACAGAGTCCCACTACTGCAGGAGGACTATAGCACAGGCAGAAGTACCAGCTTGGCCCCAGGTAACTTCTCCCATTCCCAGAAGAAATTCACTCCTTCCTGGGCTATGCACGTGCATCAAAGCAGGTTCTGAACTATTTTTCAGTTTCCACTGAATGCTATTTTATCCTCTGAGAGCTCTGTAAGATTGGCATTATCCTGTAGCAGTATCACAGCCTGCAGTCATTTAATGCCTCTTCTTGTGAGGCTGGGATTCCACGCCCAAGTGCATTTAGTAGGTCAGTACAGTAATTTTAAATGTCTTTCTTTCAGTCTTTTGCCATCTTCAATTATACCTTTCCACCCTACTATTTGTGTAATTTTCTTCTGTCTGAAGTCTCTTTACTGTTGTTCTGTATTGCACAGCGTGACAAATTACCCATCAAGCCGTATCTTTTCAGCCCAGAAATGCGCAGTAACACAGAGTCATGGCATTATCACATGTTGTGCACTTTATTTCCTCACAGTTCATTCAAGTGTGTCACTTTATTTTCCGGCTTCCTTTTGTCATCATGAAGATTAACCATTTTATTCTTCCTAAACTTCAGAAAGAATTAGAAATGCATTATATTGTAAGCCCAGAGCAACACCTACACAATCCCATACAACCCGTCCTTGGCAAAATTATTTTCTGCAACTCTGAGCCTTGCAGAAGCTGGGGCTTTCATTGTTATTATACAGCTGAGTAACCCTGGCCATGGGTAAGAGAATTATTTGTAGCCCCTGGCCACCAACCAAATTAATTGTGAGACACCATTCACTTTGACAGTGCACTCCAGCTCCTTCTGGGAGCTATGAAACTCTCCGGGCCTCATGTATACTGTGCCCAGGGTCCTTCTCTCCCTCCCTCTCTCTTTAATTCAAGATAAATACCAGTAATTGTACAGCTTTTGCTGAGTTATCTCCCAGGCATTGCAAGGATGTGCTAGAAAAATCAATTGTAATTGCTCAGATAGTCAGCAGGGCTGCAGCTGGTGTATGAAAGGCATCCTTAGAAAATGTGATTTAAGATGATCTAGGGAAAGTTTGTTATTAGAGGATTGTTTAAGGGCCCAAGTAGGTCTTTCAACATTAATGTCTGAAGAGACCCACAGAAGTAAATTCAAACCTTTCTCCAAAATGTACCTGAGATGTGAGATGGGATTTGTTCAAGCAAATGTGCCCAGTTCTCCTTTATAATTCATTTCATAATTCATCAGTACGAATGGGTAGGTGGGAAAAATAGCACTTCTGTAAAGCAGACCAGAGGGATTAAGAATTAGCTAAATCTGTGGAGTTAAATTTGGTTGGAGAAAACATAATTGACATTCAGATTAACAAAATGTTGACTGTTCAGTACCATTGCATTTTATAGTTTTGTAAAATGCTGATGCCTAGGAAGGAATAAGAGCAGAATATGATAAACTGAAAGTGTTGTGGTGCCAAGGATACCAGGAGTCACTTGCAATGTTAGTGGTCCCATAACATGAAATATGCCAGATGCTGGTTGACAGAGCTAGGATGTGCTGAAGGAGCTGAGCATGAGCAATAGGAGGTACACATGTAAATGAGGCACCAATCCTAAATCTGGGCTTATCTAATTTTCAGCACTATTTCTGTTCCAGGCTCTGAAGCATTTTACCATGTTTATTTTGCTTTTTACCTGCTTCACAACTGCACTGAGCCTTTCATGTTAGCTGATATAAAAAAAATAAAAGAAATCTTTTGTATCATTTGACACACAATGTAATTCTAATTCTTTTTTTCAAACATATTTACAGGCACAATGGCAACATTAGTATGTGCTAGTAAGAAAAAATGCATGACATTTTTGTAAGTAAGCCTGACTTTTAAAGGGAAAAATAAAACTTATACATGAGTTTTTGAAACTTCATGTGAAAACTCTCAAAATTGTTTTATGTGGACTAAAAGTTCTGACTATTGCAGCTCATTTACTTTGTAATGTTCTCTAATTAATTTGCTTTAGAGTGTCAAGCAGGAGCTGGTAATAGAAAATCCATCTCCCCCTTAAAGAAAATTGTTACTGCAGCTGATAAACAGAATTATACAAGCTTTGTCGCACAAATCACGTTATAAGAGGTTCCAAAAAACTTGACAATGTTGACAGTTGTTTTCAGCAAATGGCTGCTTTGCTGTAGCACTGTCAATGTTGATGTCCTTGTGCACATGTAAAAGAGCAATGTGATTAAGGCAAGCTTGTCCATGCTAGATATGAGCCAAGTTTTCAATCTCCTCATGGCACTGAAAGATTGCTCAGCTGTTGCAGATAAGGCAAGAATAGCTAGCAGATTTCTGCCATTTAAATAATTAAATAAATAAATAAATCCTTGTCTTTGGGCATGCATCTATACAAATTTGTAACATCTGCTACTGACCTCATGTTCTAGATAAGAAGAGCTCATATTTGTAACTCTAATTGATATTACTCAGTTTAGATGATGTACTTCCAAGGAGATTACAGAAGTATCTTTTTTAAGCACAGATTTATCTAGACAGCAGTCTAAAGTATGATACACTTTTGTGAAGTGGTGAATTATCATCACTCTTCTCATGTCAGTTACCACTGCAGTTTACATCCACCTTATGTTGAATATAATTTGCACAAATAATTTACATTGCCTTTTGCTCTGAGACCATTTCATCTTTATCTATGACAGGCGATGCTTGTGCCCTACCTAGAACATCAGTCATCTTTGCAATATTTTTTCTTTGTATCAACTAGATGAAAGGAGTGGAAAACTCAGTTCTGTAGCCAAAACCTTGTCAAGAAATGGGCCTGAGTTAACACAGCCATATCCTCCATCCTATTGACCCTGAATTCTTTATGCAAGATGTCAAAGCCGTGGGACTCAGCAGATTTGTTGTCATGTCTGGGTGTGGAAATAATGGGAAGAAGCCAGTTTCAACAACATAATCTTAAAACAAACCCATGGGGATTTTCTCATATAAATTAGCGTAGACTTTGTTAGTCTAAACATACTCAGATTTCCACTTTGTATCTACTGAAAACTCTTCTGAAAGGTCTGGGTTTCTGACAAGAGCTCAGAGGAGAGGGGGGAGTAGATGTCAGGTTGGATCAAGGTGACCAGCTACATGTTCCCCAAACCTGCACTGTGATACTGCACATCTTGGAATGGTAGGGTTGAGTCTAAAGTTCCATGATAGGATAAGAAAAATCAGCGAACTCAAGTTATCTATTAATGTCTTTTTCTGACAAGCTTGTACAGTGATGGAGTGTGGTACTACACAGCAGAGATTTCATAGTCTTCAGGTACGAAAACATCCTTACTCTTTATGTAGCCCAGCTTGTTCTCTTTTCTCAACCAAATTCTTAAACAAGTATATTGGATTAAAGTCCACTTCACTGAGCAACTAAAATTCAGAAAAAGAGGTTTATGATAATGTATTTGAAGAGCATGATGTAGTATCTAAAAACAAAGGGGAAGGAGAAGATTTAAGGATGCAGTGTTAACTCTTATTCTGACATCTCTCTGCATTTTAAGGATAGATGTAACATACACATCTTAATAAAAAAGAATTTTATTCTGGGAAATCTTGGATAGCCCTTTTCTATGGGCAGAGCAACCTATGCCACGTGTAATTAGTATGACTAAAGTAAAATTCTTGGCATGTAGTAAAAAAAATAACATCTATTACAGAATCAAAGTGTAACGAACAGCTTTGCTTTTAAATAAAGCCATTATTTTACATTTTATGTCATTACGGTAAAATGGTGCTACAATAAAAGCTACACCTCAGGAAGACATCCTCATTTTGATGTCACCTGTGAAGCTCAGTGCACTTCTTCCTAACACAGCCTCAGATAAGGACTTGTGTCCTGGTTCTCTGAACTCATGGAGTAGCCCTGTGTCATGGAGTTATCCAGATCAATCTGTACCTGTGAGAGGGGACAGCAGACCCATGGGCCCTCTGGCCCAAAAATGGGAAGGGAAAAAGGGAAGGGTAGAGAGCTGGGCCCAAAAACAGAAAACAGCAGCAATCATCTAAAAAGGAAAACTTAATTTTACTAAATATGATATCAGAATGCAAAATAACACAATATAATACAATATAATACAATATAATTGAAATTAAGGCTAATAAATCAAATAAAATGAGAGAGCGAGTGTCCGAAACTGAAAAGGCCTACTTTGAACTGAACGCACACGGTTGGGGAGCACATCCACACACTGCCAGGCAGCAAGCAAAAGAGAGCCAGAGAGCGAGATCCTGTGACTTCCCCTCATGGCTTATCTTCCTCTCTGAACATGAGGTCCCCTGGCACATGTAGTTCTTCTCTTCTGAGAACCAGGTATCTGGAAAGTTGTCACTCCATGGAACTGGAGTATTAACTCTTCAATTACCTGTGCTTTATGTGATGTTATCATCTGGAATAACAAAATTATAAAACCATGCTACCCTATGACTCATGTTCTGTCATTCTCAGACTCTCTGGCTGGAAACCTAAATCTCATAAATGCAAGGCTCCAATTATCAGCTAGTAAATCTTCATACCTATTGGTTGTTCTTTAAGGTCAATTAGATTGAATAACTTTTCAATTTCTCCATATTATGAAGGGAAATCTTTCATGCAGAATTGATGAAGCAGGAATGCTTCTTGCTGTAGTGGTCTTTTCTCTGCTCCAGTACAGCTGCATGCATGAGCAGCCTGACTTTGCTTTGAAAACCTTAAGCTGCATTCTTCAGAACAGTTGCTCGATGTTGGTCAGATTTCTCTGCAGCCTTCTTTTCCATTTAGAGCTACTGAGGCTGACACATAGTTTCCAAGAACTTCAGCATGTCTTGTGTCTCCTGAATCCCAAATATTTCTCGAGTGCCTAGCAGAAGAATATCCACATAATCTTTAGGCTGGTAATACAAGCTGGGAGAAGAAAGTCAGACAGCCTTGAAAATACAATGTAATTATTTCATTTTATCTTAACTTGTGTCTTTGTTACATGTATGCTGCCATTGTTACGCTTAGAGCACTCTCTAGATTTGAAGAGGCTATAAAATCCTACTA